CTCTCTCTCTCTCTCTCTCTCTCTCTCTCTCTCTCTCTCTCTCTCTCTCTCTCTCTCTCTCTCTCTCTCTCTCTCTCTCTCTCCCTCCCTCCCTCGTGCGTGAAGGGAGGAAACTTCCACAAACACGAGAGGGCTATTTGGAACCACAGTGGCCACGTACAGACAGGAAAGTGGGGATGATGACAGTATGAGACATTTTTGGTAACTTGCTGTTGTCGGAGGGATTTATCAACGAAAGTGCACTTTTTGAGAACTTACAAACGAATGAATGAAAGCTGAGCGGCTTATTGACAGTTTTCCCTTTGTTAAGAAAGTTACAACCTCGGATTTGGATTATGATTTGGCTCCTGTCTCCTTTCGCCAGTGTCCCATTTATTTTATTGTTTTTAGGTCAAGCATTTACAATCACGAACAGTTTAAATTGATGCCATTGCCTTTTTGTTGACGCTCGGATTGAAGGATGAAAAGGGTCCGCAGAGAGAACTCACTCAATGTGCAAGGGTTTGGTGGTCCCTCCAAGGCTGAGAAATTTGCATTCTGGATGTCACAGCCCCATGTTCGACTGACCGCGAGATCTCCCGATCCGATTGCCATACGAATGTCTTCGGCAAACTGCTCATTCGTGGCTGCAACATATAACAAATGATTGACAAGATTCCAACGTTAGTTCGCTCATCAATCACATTTCACTGATTTCAGAGAAATTCAGACAGATAGAAGTTCATATAACTTTTTTTTTTTTTTTTTTTGAAAACCATGCTGCCACGCTAGGAGGAGTGATATAACTTAGTGATATGCAATTCTAACAAATCTGCCCTGGGCTAGGTCAACGAAAGTTGAATGGAAGAACCACGGGCACCTCAAAGGTGAATCTATTCTTCTTGAACAAATCCAGTTGAGGTCACAGGCTCAGGGCCTTCAGGCAGTCAACGCTGCGCCCGTCCATTGACATTTCATTTCACTTGAAGCCATCCATCCGGCATCGTGGGTTTTGTTTAACACTTAACGGAGGCACAAACGAAGTTGATGATAATTCCTAGGTTTATAGAACGTTGTACCCATTTCTGGGCACTGGAGATCCTTGCCCAACCGATACCTTTTTTTTTTCTTTTTTGTTTTTGCCCAACCGGCATCGTGGGTTTTGTTTAACGGAATGGAGGCACAAACGAAGTTGATGATAATTGCTAGGTTTATAGAACGTTGTACCCGCTTCTGGGCACTGGAGATCCTTGCCCAACCTATACTCGTTTTTCTTTTTTTTCTTTTGCCCAACCGATACACTGTTTTTCTCAAAGAACTAAAGTTTGTATTTAGTAGATTATATAACATAAGACCACATGAACACCATAATAAGTGTGTAATTGTAATACGACTCAGGCTCGCCAGGGGGAGCGCGAAGGAAACGACGTTGACAATGCTACGTGTTCTTGCATAGTTAAATGCAAGTATATCTGCGTGGTCCAGCAGGATCGTAATTCTTATTGAAACTCAACCGCCTAATCAGCTTAGGAGTTTTGGCTCGCAGACAACAAGAGGCCATAAACAGTCGCTCAGGGAGAGACTCTGCTGAGTGTTGGCAGTCGTGTTGTTGCATCGTTAAATGCAAGTATATCTGCGTGGTCCAGCAGGATCGTAATTCTTATTGAAATTTGAAACTACTTTCAAGTCTCAACCGCCTAATTAGTATAGGAGTTTTGGCTCGCAGACAACAAGAGGCCATAGACATCCTCGCAGGGAGAGACTCTGCTGAGTGTTGCCAGTCTCCAAAATAGTAAATACTAAATTCCTTTTTTTTCTTTTTTTTTTTGTGACAAACATCCGCAAAAGACTATAATTGGAGGTGATAAAAAGCATCCTCATCCTCAAATAGTAGGTTTCCCAGTTGTAGATGGCTCTGATTGATTGGCGGGGAGCAGCACCGGATGGAAACGGGTCCAGGGTCCCAAAAATACTGAGATGGAGCCAACTGTAAACAAACTGTGAAACTGTGATGACCAGCATTGATTGATCTCCGACTGCCCATCAAACGACAAGACAAGCCACCATGCTGCTCGATAGTAAACCTCTCTTCAATTTGAAAGCCACCTCAACCTCACCCCTACCACATAGCAAGCTGCCAACCGCCAAATAACAACAACTATGGTTGAATTCCAATGTTGTTCTTTGTTTCTCTTTGATGGCCAGAAGTTCTTCAACGCTATGAAAAGCTGGAGGACTTTGTACCATCCATTCAAGTGTAGTTGAATTTGGCTCAACTGCCCAAGGCGCTCGCAGAGCGCGCACTTCACTGCTTAAAGTGAGATAAACAACCACAAAAAAAAACTAAAATTGCTACAACAGACGGCGGACCTGACTGCCTCTCAATCCCGTCAGCAAAGGGGCATGACAGCCCATGTTGCTCAATTGTAAACCTCTCTTCAATTAGAAAGCCGCCCCGGCCTCGCCCCTACCACATGGCAAGCCACCAACGGCCGACTGAGGACCTGTGACTGCCTCTGAATCTCGTCAGCAAAGGGGCATGACAGCCCATACCCGATCGTGAGATTGAAGGACCGCAAGCATTCGACTGATGGGGAAGACATACACAACAGGGCAAAGGGCTGGCCAGAAAGGTCAATCATAGGGGGAAACAATTTTTCCGAAGCCATGCAATTCTCCCCCCGCTGGAGGCATAGCACAACCTATGATCAAACACGAAGAAATACAAGTCTCATCAACGAAGGGAAACAAAATACAAGTCTCAGAAACTATGAAAATAGTAAAATACACAATACAAGCTGAGGTCACTGCGCCCCCATCGCCTAGCACACTCACTTCCACCTGCAACCATCCATCAGCCACCCCATACACCCCAATCAAGACTGTGGGAGGAACTCGACGGCTTATCCTCCCAACGTGCCCAACGGGGCATCCACAGCAGCAGAGGAAAGTAAGAGTTGGTGCTGACTCTGCTGAGGCTCCGTCATCCACAGCAGCAACAAGAGAAGCGCCAACTATTAATTTCCTCTTGTGTTGCTGTGGATGAGGGCACCTCGTTGGCCACTTTCAGAGGGGGTTCCATAGAGTTTGTCCCACACTCTTGTTTGGGGTGTACGGGACGGCTGAAGGATGGTTGCGGGTAGAAGTGAGTGTGCTAGGTGACGGGGTTGTGGTGGCTTGACCTCGTACAACATTTGGTTTCCCTTGGCGGGATGACGCTTGTATTTCTTCGTTTTGCGATGTGGTAGGCGGTCTCCTGAATTCGTAGTCTTTACTCAAACCACCACTATGCACCCCAGGCAAATAGTGCGCGTGCAAATACATTATTGTCATTATATATGTCCAAAAGTCTCAGGGGCTCCGAGGGTAAGGGATCGAAAGGGATGGTGCCGCCAGCCAAAAACAAAACATATCACATGCGCCGATTAACTTCTTTTTGCGTGCAGCACGATTTCGGGTCGGAGTGATGATTTAAGAGCTGAAATTATTTTATTATTATATTAAAGGAAAATTTGCAATGTACCCCTCAAGATGAAACAATATTCGAATACCCCTAAGATATGTGGGTAGAACAGAATGGCCTGACCATTGCCCAAATTTATTAATTCACCCCCGTGTTGATCGCAACAATAATCTTTTCAATATAGTACCCCTACCCTGTAATGATGGTCCAGGTTTTCAAAATACCCCAGTACTTGCACATTTTTTCAGGGCTGATTGCTCAAGTGATTTAGAGGGGCACGGCACAAATTTGTCACCCTTTTTCCATACCCTACTTTTCTGTCACAGTGACCCTGCTTCGACTCTGGTTTCACCCTATCCCTTCGAGTCCGCTTCCCCCCCTGCCTCTACATGCTTTTTCCCTCTCTCTCCCATTTGAAAAAAAAACAGCCTCGGAAGTGCTATGTTCACGCAGCCAACAAACTTAGCTCAACTGGTACACCCACAACTGTTGAAATACTATCCAAACAGATGAACAGAATAAAATAATTCTGAATTACCTGGGGCTTGTCAGTTCAATGATGATGTCTCAAAGTCGTCGCCCTTTTCAAAAGGAAAGTGCTATGCCCATGCTTGGAAAGAATGAACCTGGTCATAATCATGGCGATTTTTGTGTTTCGTTGGCATGCAACAATAATGAGGCACATGTGGTCCATCATCTCAGCTTTGTAGATCCATAAATTATTATCCTATTGTTGTATCCATGGGACGCTGGACCTGCTTTCCAGCAGATGCCGCTCCCCACCAATAGACTGGAGCCATTTGAACTTAAATATTATTGTAAAAAAAAAAAAAAAAGAGCACCAGTAGCGCCTGGCCCTGAGACTGGCTATTCTGGGAGTCGGGCACCAAGCTGAGCGCTGCCTTCATCTACTCTCCTACCCAATGATGAGGCCAGTTGTGGTGCCAGCCAAAACGCTGTTGGGGCACTGCTCAGGTTAAATTTGTAGTGGTGGCCTCAGGTTAGATTTGGAGTAGAGGTTGCTTCATTGCTATTCGTGCTGAATTCCACATTGCTATTATTGTTGAGTTGCTCAGAAGATATCCCCAATGTTGCCTATTGGAGAAACTGTGCTATTGCGATTGTTTCCATTTCCCTCCATGCTCTTCATGTGTCCTTGCCGTGCTTCTCATGTGTTGTCGCCATTCTATTTCATGTGTCATCTGCCATAGATGTACTTCATTTTGTACATTCGAACACAATGTCCGGGTTCTTCTGCTTCACAAAGGTGTACGTTCACACCCCTTTTTGGTGGGTATGTGGGGTAGGGTTGGAGAGGGGGGGGG